AAATATTTGAATATTTTTAGAAAATATTGTAAATATGTGTTGTATAAAAAGAAGCACTGATTGTTCCTTTAATATATAACTATAGCTACATATCCAGATTATCTAACAATAAGATCTACATATGTAGGATCTGTATGTGACAGAGAATTTGAAATAAACACCGACAAACCGGTGAGAGAATCGTTTGTTCCACCGCGAATCGGCTCGGCTAGCCGATTTTTCCCGCGGCAGTGAATCGGCTCTCTTTTCTCGAGCGGCTGATTTTCAGCTGGCCGATCGGGCAACTCTCGTTACGAGTCTCGACTAGCCGTAATCAATTTCATGCATTGATTAATACGAAGTAAATGAATACCTGGGAATCGTTGCGAGGCCTCTCTCGATGGCGCGAGCGCTCGCCAGCCCGCGAGATGATTTATCCGGCGTGGGTCGAGGGCTGGCCGGCCGGCGCGCGTAATTATCATACGACAGCCGATTAAAATTGCGGCCGTGCTCGCGCTCAACATCAATTTCAAGCTAATTACATGCATTTTCGCGTCTGGAAGCGAGCCGCGGAAAAATCGGTCGTTACGTGCCCCGGCCGCTGGACTCCTCTCGAGATCGAGATCCGCCACAGCGTGCCTTACCGGTTAGATCAGTGTTTCCCAACCCGGTGATGGAACGAACTCAGCTCCACACGTTCTAAATTGACGTTGCATCGTCGTTTTATTTACAATTTTGAGAAATTTTTAGGTAAGAGGGTACAGAAGATACTCTGTTCCTATTTTTTTACTTGGATCTTTTAATTTATTGTCGAGGCTTGAATTTAGTACAGTCTGCAACGAATAGTTTATGTAATTGAAATTCTTATAATCAGAGTCCACCGATTAGATGTTTCTCGTTCGTATAATAGAAGTGAATTGAATCAGCAAGTTCGTTTAATCGGGTATATATTAGTTCAAATAAACGGAGTTGTATCGTACAAAGTGTTTCTGAAATCGTGGCCAGGAGATGATTCTACGTGAAAGAATAAATCAAAAAGGAAGAACAAATTTTTTTTGACTTGTAAAATAAACTTAATGTTAATTTCATCATAATTCTATTTTCAAATACTCTTAATGAATTTTATTTTCAAATACTTCCGAATGAATAAATAAATACATACCTGGTCCGTATATAATTCTTTTTAATTAAACCTGACCGATCATTTATTCAGAAATCTGTTTCAATAGTCTGCTCTACAGAAATGGATTTCACTTACCGAAACGACGTCTGACGACCGTCTTCGGAAGACAGCTCCTTCATCCGTTTTTCATTTCTCAGCTCGCAGCCGCGGAGCTTCTTCCGGAAGCTGTGGCTCGCGCGGATCCACGGAACGCTGGAAGACATCCTCGGGAAACTCGGTCCGCGTCTCTTATCGCACGAGCCTCGATAAGCCCTCTCTTCCCCCTTCCCCACTGACACAGTTAAACATTCTTCCCTCTTAATTTCATCCTCGTCTCGAACCGAGCCTCCTTCTCTGTTGTACTTTTCATCAACATCGACGAACTTCTCTCTGTTCGTAGTCTCGACTTTCGTCTCACTTTTACGATCTGGATCGCGAGGCTCGTGAAGAAGCCGCCCCTTGCTGGAGGCGTCCTCGACGTTGGGAAAAGAAGCGTCGGAGGTGAAACGCTTTCTCCTCTCCAGCACGAAGTCGATCGCCGTGGACAAGATATCTCTGGAGGAACAACTCGACGCGGAGGATTTCGACAGGCCACTCAAACGTGGCACCGGCACTCCACCGTTGCGATCTTCCCGCGAACTTTCAACGTCGTCGCGCTGCGTCGAATCGACGCCCTCCAAGTTGCAATTGCTTCTCTCGCCGGTTTCGTCGCAGTTTTCCCTTCGCGACGATCGCCCGTTTCGAGAGAAATCGGAAACAACGGAATTTCGAAGGGTGAACTCGTGCAGATTCCCGGCGACGTCCTCCAGCTCGGCCACGCGTTTCTCGAGGAACGCGATTCGACGATCGCGCGCTCGCAGCAGATACAGGGCTTTCTGGGCTCGTTGCTCTTCGTCCACGGCATTTCTGAAATGATCGAAGTGATGCGAGTTTAAATTTTAATCTGGGAATTCCAGATCTGCGAAAATTCCTAGGTTATCGTTGAAATTCACTTTGTACAAGTACAGTGTTGAATGTTGTATTTATGCATGTATTATACATTTGGAATTGAAATACATATTTTTATATGATATATTTAATATTATATTATTACACTATATATTACAATATTTTATAATATTATAATATTTAATAAGAAATATTATATTTTAAGCAGTTTTTTATTTATTGTTTTTATTTATATTGAACAATGTTATAAGTGCAGTATTGAATGTATTGTACATTTGGAATTGAGATTTTATCAAAGGAATATTATATTATTATAATATAATATATTTAATATCTAGTATAATTAATATATATAATATTATATAATATTATAACTAATATATATAATATTATATTATAATTATATGCAGTTTGACATTCTCTAACGTATATTGAAAAATTATGAGATATTTTAATTTTAATTCTTGTTTTTTTTGTAACACGTCAGTAACACAAACATTTAAACACCGTTTCTTGTATTTCTTTCTATATGATATTTTATACAAAATATCAAAAAAAAAAACCATAATCAGAATGTGTAGGCCCCTCGGGACCATTTTTGTAACCACTTTTATTTGTAACATTTCTCGCTGCAAGTAATAAGAATGATATAAACCAACGTGTCAAAATCGGACAAAATTGCACGAATCTCTCGTAGTTCTACATGCACATTTAGATTCATTTTAATCTTCCCAAATACACAATCGTGATATTCAGGTCTCGCTGCGCTGCGCCAAGAGAGGGAAGAGAAAGAAAGGGTGG